AAGAACGACAAATGGCTGTTGTTGTTATTGTTGCATGTTGCTGTTATTGTTGCATGTTGCTGTTATTGTTGCTTGTTGCTGCGGTCGATCGGCGGTTGTTGTGACTGCCACTGCTGTTGCTGTTGCTGCTGCTGCTGGTGTCATGTCGTTCATCAGCGTAACAATTTTTATTGTTTCCGACCGCAACATTGTTGACGATAAAATTTTAATTCACATAGCCAATTGTATTTTTTTGGCATATCTGTTTTGCTTGCTAACCACCAAACTTGAAATTAATTGAAATTTCAAAAATAAAAATAAGTTAAAATATTTTGTACCATTAAATCACAGCTTGGGCTTAAAATTGCATAAATTGTTGAACAAAATTTGTTGTTTATTAAATGCATTGTAATATTGTGCAGTTATTTTTATATAAACAGAATCCAACTGTAGCGCTCTTTAAGTTCTCTATAGCCGAATAATCTTACGCAGATTTTGCATGCTGCCTTTTGGACAGCTCTTCCGCCAAATTGATTTATAGCGTTCGAACATGTAGCAGCCTCCCAAAAAATTATGTGGCACGAAACATCAAAAAAAAATTTAAAAAATCCGAAGACAAGCAAATCATTTTAAGAGCACGTCCCTCAATTATAAGTGCAACTAATTGCGCTCGCAAATGTTGCATGAAAGCGTCGCAAATTCTTAATAACATGACAAGCAAATGCTAAATTGTCAACATAAACTCAAAGACTGCAATAGCAACACTTGATGGCGCAACAACAACAGCAGTGGCAACATTCAACAACATTTTCTATGGGCACACATTTATCATGGATGCATGATTCAATTTCTGGATGGCTACCGTTTGTAAGTTGCACGCTTTTGACCTGCGCCGGCGCAGAGCGCGTGCCACAACAACAACAACAGAAACAGCAGCAGCAACAACATCAGCAACAACAACAACGACAACAAACAAACAATGGCAACACGAATTGTGGAAAGAGCGTAACCAAAAGTTGAACTTGCTGCCTGATCTTTGATCTTATCGCGGCCATCTGGCAAAGTGTTAAGTGAAACTGAATGCATCGACTCCTTTCAACCTCCTTTGGCTGATTTACCCCCTTCCCCCCTTGTCGCTTGCCCTGCGTTGATTAATTGAAATTTCACTTTATGTGCCTCAATCATCATTTATTTTGTGGCACTTTAATTTATGCCACCGCACGCCTCAAAGCTCAAGATGCAAGTGCCATTTAAGGGCGCAGTTATTATCGCTTTTAAGCTGCACACGTGCCACGCCCCCTTTTGGGCCACCGCCCTTTTTGCCAATTTTCAGGCTGTAATTAGCTGCCGGCCAACACTGCCCCAGAGCCTAATGATTCGCCATGTGGCAAGAAAGCCAACTATAAATGCAATTTGCCACACAGCAACTACTTAAGCCACTAGAAAGCATTAAGTTTGCTGTCTGTTTGTGTGTCTGTCTGTCTGCCTGTCTGTCTGTTTGTTTGTTGTTTGTTTGTTGCATGTCTATCATCATTTTGAGTTGCATCTGTTAATGATTTCGAGAGTTGAGTCTGTCGAAACGGACCTCATTAGCAAGAGATCATTAATTTTGACAACGACTTCAAATGAATTCCATTTCAAAAATAAGCATTTTGACAGATAAAAGGATGAGTGTAGTCAAAGTTGAAGAATAATTGCAAAACTAATAGGAAAAAGATATATTGCAGATTGCTGGACAGACAGATACCATAAAATGATTCTTGTAGTTAATGGTTTTTATGAAAAGTTATATGAAAGATTGGAAAAGTGATATTTTGATAGTCTCAGATAAACTAAAGTAGCATTTGGGATGAACATAGTAGCATACATAGTAACGGCTAGATCGATTTAGAAATATATTTACCCATATATAGAGAGAATGCCAGAGAAGCCCCAAATAGCGGCAGTAAGTCAGAAACAAAATAAGATATATGCAGGTCAACTTAGAGGCAACAAAAGAGATAAAATCGAAATGAATCATTATGCTAATCTTAACTAAATATAGAAAAAACTAGCAGCTCATATAAAGATACGTATATGTATAACCAGTAGAATCTAAGCTAAACTAAACTTTTTCTAGAAATAAGTAGATACTCGTTAAAAACTATTCCGTCTGTGCAACTACTCGCAACTAGTTAACTGTTCCCAGCTTAATCTGTTCCTTTCTCTCTTTCTTATGCGCCCGATCTAAGCAGTCGTTCTAGTTTGCAGTGACAGCTTGGCAACATTTGCCCCTTGGCAACATTGCGATTGCTATTCCAGCTGTGTGGGGCATGCAGCAGCCAAAACAAACTGAAATAATGTTGCCATGTCGCCCGCTGCTGCTGGCGTCGACGCGGCGACAAAAAAACACGCTGCCAACTTATGCGGCGCACAGCAGTTGCCTGCACGTGGATGTCAGCAGCAGTAGCAGTAGAAGAAGTCGCAAGAGTAGCATCAACAGTGGCAGCTAGCAACGTGTGGCACGCAAAACCGCGTGGCAGCAACAACAAAACTATGCTTCGTATGAGCAAGTTCGGCTTCTGTCTGCTCTTCGTTGAGTTAGTCGCAGCTGAAGCTGAAGATGTTGCTCACGTTGCTAATGTTGCGGCTGTTGCACGCTCGTTTATAATGTTGCTGCTGGGAAATGTGCAGCAAATATTCGTGCATTGCATTTGGGGAGCCAAGTTTTGCTCGCTCTGACTTTGCTTTTTTAACGCCGTTCGCTTATCAGTCAACGGTTTTGTGTCTCGTCATAAATTATGACCAAATATTGCCTGCTCAACTGCATAAGTGCTACACATACACCTACACACAAACACACACACACACACACCTACACATACAGCCAGAACTTTCTCCAATTCATTTTTGAGAATCGGAGGTAAAACTCACGCGTGGTCGCCTCGATAACTCATCCCTCAATGCAGGGCCAGAGTCACGCCGTCTGCGGTCTCCGACATGTTACGCTTGCCTGCCTCAGTTCAGCCAAACTTAACTAAAACCGCCTTGCATTTCCTGCCACACAGCCAGCCCGGCAGCCTGCTTGCCGCACTTCACCCACTCTACAACAGCCATCTCATCCATCGCATTGCAAATCATTGTGAAATGCAGCCACGCACGCAAAAAATGAGTTCGTTTGAAATCCAAACATTTCAGCTGACTCTTCCTCTAATGCCACATTCCTTCCCCTTCCTCCTCTCCAGCCCCACCCACCACTTTTCGGCTCTATCCGCCCCACTGTCAGCTCTTCGCTGCTATTTATTCATTGGTGCGTGTTGCCAAATGCCAAACATTTTTAGATGCGACTGCGAACGATGCTTGTAAATACTTTGGAGTTGTGCAAAAGTGGAAAAAGATTTGCTGTCGCAGCTGTTTAAAGTTGTTGTTGTTTTTGCTGTTGCTGTTGCTGGTGCTGTGTGTTGTTGTTGACTGTGTGGTGTTGTTGCTATTTGGTATTTGCGAGAGAATTTGCTGTGTGCGTCTCAGACTTGGCTGCTGGCTGTGAAGTGGGATGCCAAGTGGACGGTCGGAGAAACACTTTTAATGCATTTTTAATTAATTTTTTAGAAAATGAAACATGAACCAAATACTCAAGTCAAATGCAATCAACTCGTCGAGCTCTTCTCGTAGAAACATGCCACAAATTTCACTTTTTATTATTCAATAAAAAAGGCCAAACAAACTTAACTATTAAGGTCCAATGAAATTATGACTTAACGTTTTCACAGAAAGTTTTAGAACCACAAACATTAAATTTTACACATCTTTTAATATGACTTTAAGAATTCACTTTCAACTTAAGTTAGCCACCTACTCAATTGGTGGAGAACTAACCTCAAACCACATAAAACAGTTACGCTCGTTAAATGGTCAGAACTTAACGTTTTACGATAGCTACAGTAAACACACCTACAACTAACAAACAGCTGTTCAGACTTTAATAGAGCCATTAGACATTCAAAGTGCATGCGGAATTATCAATTAATTATTGCCGGTTTGGCTTAAGCCACCAAGTGCTACTTAAAGTTTATGAAACTTTCATGTTTGATAACACAAAATGACTTGTTATCATTGTAGATAACCAGAGAGGCTCAACTCCATACTTAGCACACATAGCTGCATACCACTTAGCCGGCGTAGGCTTTGAATGAGCGTTGTTGTTGCCACTGCTGTGGATGCTGGAAGACCCAGTTTGTGTTACATGCCCCTCTTTAGGATCCTCACACATATACACACACATGCACACTTGCACACACAGCGATAGGCAGGCACACACAAATACGAAACACCCGCGAACAACAGTGAGCAACATTTGACTTACGTTCCACAAACAATGTCCGTGTGAATGGAAGGAAACTGGTTGTTAGTTGCACCATGGAAACATTACCAATTTCAGCTGGCTGAAATAAAGGTTGTACTTTAACTAATTTTACTAGATTTATGGAAAGCACTTCGTATAGCTATATATATATATTTGTATAGTATATGCCGGTTAAACGATTGCTCCAATAAAAGCCATATGAGTTTGTAGTCCGATGTTGATTATTTTTTGTCGAAATGTGAGGAACATGCTAACACGCATAACTCGTGAATTTTGACTATATATCTTAGTAAACAAAAAAGATTTTCCGACAAAAACTCAACTTTCAACCGATAGGCAGCTAATTGATATGGTCCGATGTTGATAATTATTTGTCAAAATGTGAGAAGTAAAATAAAACCAGTTAATAGAGAGTTCGGTTTAGATTACTTGTTAAATAAAATTTATTATATTATCATAGTAGTTTACACAGCTTACAGCTTACAACAAACAAACAAAGAACATTTTCTAACAGTCAACTACTATGGTTGGCCCACTGTGCGGCATCGTCGTCAGCTGCTGGCTGTGTGTGACTGTTGAGCGAGCAGTCGCTCCCTGCATGCTGCCTGCCTGACTGCCTGGCTGCCTGACTGCCTGGCTGCCTGGCTGCCTGGCCTATTGAAATTTATGTGGCCGCTTTTAGTCGTTTACGCTTAGCCAGCGGAAGCGAACGTCGCAATCGGAATCGGAGTCGCAGTCAGAATCGGAATCGAAATTGGATTCGAATGAAACCGTGTTGTGTGTGCTGTGTGTGTTATGTGTGTGCTATGTTTGTTTGTCGTCAAGTGTTGTGTTGCTCGTCAGCATCATCTTTGTTTTTGTGCATTGTCGATGTGCTTAGACGTAGGTGCAGCTGCTGAATAGCTGGTTTCAAGAGCCTACACATTCATTTCGCAATACATTAATAATCATTTATTAAAATCCACAAAGTGTAAAGTGATAAGTTGAAATACAAAAGTGGTAAACGAATGTAAAATCAGGCATTCTTAAAAGCTTAAACACAAAGCGTTGACTAATTAACATTTTGGAATCAACGATTAAAGTTGAAAGAGGGAAACCTGTTGCAGACAGAGCTGAAGTTATAGCTGAAAGCGGATATACTTAAGAAATAGAGCAGTTCTCAAAGGTTAGTAAGAATTAAATCACTCGAATCGCGTGTGCAGTTCTCGAACAAGACGTTTAAATTAATCAACTTGACGTACTACACACAACTAACCAACAAACTAACTAGCTAAATATGCAAATTATATTGAGGAAGTCGAAGAAGTCGAGAATAAAAACTGTTACACTTTGCTGGCCAGCAGCAGAAGAGGAACAAGTTTTTTACATTTGATATGAGAAAAGGGGTATGATGAAGCTGTGCCAAAGTAGGTGTATGCCACAAGGAAGCATCTAAGAGCCCTTACAATATATTTTTATATTCTTGATTTTATGGATAACTGCTCCTTTTTGAGAATTTCGAAGCAAATCAATTTCACACAATTGTCAAGGCATTGCCTTCCAATTGACATATGATTAATCAATTGGAAAATGTTATTTCATTTGATGTTTTTTCATTTTGAGCAAGTTTACTTTTGTTTCAGTGTTTGATTCAGGGTATCTACTAGTCGTGATCTCTCGTCTGGAGCTGTGTAACTTGTTATTTAGGCTCAACCTTTGGCTGAGCGTGAGAAAATTCACAGCGCATTAATTAGCAAAGAAATCATTTTAAAGTAATCGACAATGCGGGTAGCTATACCCAATACTCCAATACCCTCCGTTGCCTGTGCTTCCCTTCCCCACACAGGTATTTGTTTCGCATGTGAGCTTCGCTTTGGTTTGTGATGCCAATTGGATAGCAGCAAAAAAAACTAATTGCTTGGAAATTAAAAACGTGTCAGCTGACACGCTATGTTTCTCGGCGGCAGCTGCAACGGACTGCTGCTGCTGCTGCCACATGCTGCAAGGAATACACAAATTTTTATAGAAATAGTAAAGTTTTTTTCAATGGAATTTAAACTTTTCTATAACTTTGATTTGCATAGTAGATTTGAATTATTTTTACAACTTTTTAGTTCATAATTTTAAGCATTCTTTTCAAGCCGGCACGCAGCTGCGGTCTTGAAACAATTTCCATTTAAAAATTAAGTTAAAATTGCCAGCAAGAGAGAGAGAGAGAGAGAGAAAGAGAAAGAGAGTGAGTAACATAAATTACAGACAGCCCAATGCGTGTTGGTGTTGCTGTGGCACAGCATGTTGCAAGCCGAAACCAAAAGTCAATTCGAACAGACTCATTAAGGTTTTAATTTACAAGTTTAACCTGGGACTTAAGCGTGGCGATTTATATGCGTCGACCGAGAGGCAATAATCAACAACAGCAACAACTGCAATCAAGCAGAGGCAACAAAAACAACAGCACCAACAGCAACAACATATGTCCACCTACGCAGTCCAAGAAACAAAGCACAAGACTTTTAGGGCTGGCCAAGACCAGCAAACAACAGCAACAATAACAACAACAAACCAAACCAACAACGACAACGATTTGTGCAAATGGACCGACATTAATGTTTGTGACATGAGCAACATGAAAGCGATAGCTGCAGTAGAGGTGCAGCAAGAGGGTCGATGTGGCATGATTAAACACACCTTGACAGGGCTGGTTGATGATTACCTTGGCTTGTCACTTGGCCAACAACAGATACAACTGATTGCACGTAATACTGACCTTAGACAACAGCAGCAACAACAGCAACAACAGCAACAACAGCAACAACAGCAACGGCAACAACAGCAAACAGCAGCAGCAACAACACTCTCTTTACCTCGACACCTGCAGCAGCTGCCAATTATACACAGAATTCAACTGGACGCACGTGCATGTGATTTGAAACCGTTCTAATTTCTCAAACTGTCAGTGGCAAAGAGGCAATTCTAGCCTGCAACAGCAACAGCAACAGCCACAGCTTGCAACGAACTCGTTAGCTTTGTTGCTGCTTTGGATGTTGCAATTATGTAGCGCGTTTACAAAAGAAGGTCGTCAACGTTGTTGTTGCAGCTCATGTCTTCATTTTGGGCTTTTTGCACATGGCAAACAGCAACAGCTACACATGTTGATGCTGTGCACGAGCAACAGCAACAGCAGCAGCAGCAACAGTTGAAGCAGGAGCACAACAGCAACGTTTTGTGTGTTTGTTTGTGTTACCAACACTTTTGGCCTTTGGCGTTCAAGCTAACCCCACCAGAAACTCCCCAGTCCCCGACCGTCGTCCCTGCCTCCCCCCTCCCATTCCCCGTTCCCCTTGCTTCGCTGCTTGCCTTTATTAAGCGACGACGAAAACCAAAGTCACTTGCTGCAACTGCAACAGCCATAAAGCGTGGCCTGCAATAGCAGCGCTTTTTTAATGGTACTTTTTTTTTGCTGCAAACGGGTTTCTTTTTTTTTGCTGCTGGTGCCCCTTTGAGCTCCTCCGGCGTAGACGTCGCCAGCGGTTGGCGATTTTTTCTCTAATTTGCACCGCTTTAATTTTGCCTTTTTATTTGCAACACTTGTCGTTTAAATGCAGCAGCAGCCGAGCAAAGTGTTGCCAATAAATTAAATGCAATGCAAACAGCGACAAAAAAATCTGAAACGAATCAGAAAAAAACTATGCCCAACCAAACCGAAGCTAATATACACTATTCAAGAGTCTGTGTTGACTGTTGAATTTCTAAAATTAATTAAAATAATTAACTTACAAGCGACGTTTCTACTAAGCAAATGAATCAAATAATATAACATCACAATAAATATTGTTTGACAAATTAATTATCTGTTATTGAAATGTATATTATACAAATTGCAGCTATCACTCGGTTTCATTATAAACTCTCTCTCTCTCTCTCTGTTTCTTTTACCTTGATTAAATGAACTGTGCTTAAGTAAACGTCATAAATAATTTATTTAAATACCTGCTGCTCTGCTGCAGGCATACACTATGTATATATTTATATATATATACAATATTTATTATATATAATATATAAATGCATATATGTATATGGAAACTGAGGCATGCAGCCACAGAGTGTGCGGCATAAAAGGAAATTATCTATGTGTCTGGCAGTTCTCAGTTCTCATTCGTTTCGTGGCACGGCACAATCGCAACAAATGGCATTTTTATTGATATTTCGGTCGGTTTGCCTGGCAGCTTCATGTTGAAATATGCGCGCCACCTGTTGATTTTGTTTGCAGATTGGCCAAGATGGGACGGGCACCGACTCCAGCTCAAGCTCCGGCGACGGCTGCAGCTCTTGGCTAGGCTTGGAGCCAAAGGGGACTCGTGATTTGCAGCACAAATTAAAAGCGAGGGCGATGCATATAAATAGCAATTTGGACAGACGAATTAAGCCAAATGACTCCAAGTACATAGACCAAGTTGTAAACTTGTCGTGTCATAGAAATGAGCTGAAGTTATGTCAACAGCGTGACTCGAGTGTTGTGTGTGAGTGTGTGAATGTGTGTGTGTGTTGTGTGTGTGTGTGTGTGTGTGTGTGTGTGTGTGTGTGTATGCTTGTGTAGAACATGAGGAACCATTTCATGTGTAGAAAGAACCCTTGGGAAACAGAGGGCATTTTTGTGTAGGCTCACAATACGTTTTTTGTTTGGGTTTCTCTTTAAGTAAACTGGTGAAGAATATTAAAACAAGCAAACTGAGAGTGGCCGTTTAAGAGATACCCTTTACTCAGTCATTACATCTATTTTTATATCATATTTGTCAAACTTTACACACTTTATAAGCATTGGTACATGAAACCAACGCAATTCGACCTTTGTTTTTGACCGAGAAGCTTCTCACGATATGAAGCTGGCCAATCTTTATGCATGGAGAAATGAGAAAAAGATACAAATACATTTGAAATATACATTCGTAGCAGCAACAACTAAATAAATAAACATTTTATTGCATTTAATTTATTTTCAATGCTGATCATGCATTTTTTTAAGTGTTTCCTTCAGCATTTTATACACATTTACAAAACTTCATAATAGTCTTCTAAGGCTCCCCAATATTGCATTCAAAATAGACTTTTATAAATATATTCCTAGTTTATAATTGCGCCCAATCTAATTTACCATATTTATGTATCACTCAACTCTGTTGCGACAGTTGTAAGGGCAATCTTTTTATATGAAGAATGGAGATAAGCTTATAATTAAACGTAAAAAGAAATTTGTCATTAAATATCCAACAACTCAATTGAGCTAAGCCCAACTAACTTGTTATCAACTGTTATCTGGATAATCAAACGTCAGCATTCAATTAAGGTTCACCCTCAGCGCGACACGTTTTGTTTGCTCCAATAAGATAAGGCAACTAGATATGCCATCAAATGCATTTGAAAGAATTTCGTCTCTGGAATGGATTGTGTTGACAGGCGAACGACAGGTAAAGAGAGAAAGAGAGACAGACAGTGAGAGAGAGAGAGAGAGAGAGAGAGAGAGAGAGAGCGATAAGTGAAGCGCTGATAAGCACCGAAATTTGACAGGCATAAAGTAAAGGAACTGGCTAACTGACTGACAAGCAGGTAAGACTGTTGTCAAAAGTGTGGAACTAAAAAATAGTGCCAAGGCAGCCCGGGCAATTGTAGAGAAAATCCAAAGCAAAAGATTCAGGAGCGATGAGAAAACCAGTTTTGGAGAATTTTTATTGTATTTTGCGCATGTCGCTTAATTAAAAGACAGTCAAAAGCTGCGGACGCAGCTGCAGCAGCAAAAGAGTTCATCACAATGCAACGCAGCTGGAACAACACTAAACCTGCTCCAAAAAATGCCCCAATCAACAATTTTATGAGCTATAGAAACGTATAAATATTTACACGAAAACTACATTGAGGGGCGAACAGAAAGCAAGATAGATAAAGAACGGTGGACGGGGAACAGGGAACGGGGGGCGGGATGGGACAAAAGACGGTGTAATCTGAACGCCTTCTAATGAAATGCTAACGATATACATTGGGAAAAATCAAAATCGTAACGAGCCAACTCCAACCAAAGAGCTAACATTTTGAAAACCGTTTTTCCCAACAAAAGAAAATTATGTAAATGCTGGAAAATTGTTTTGGCCATTCCCGCTGCGGTTGCCTAGCAATTTGCGCTGCGCTTCG